GTTTTTGGAATGATATTGGAATAATAATTTGATATATGGATTGGATTGGTATTGAATTATTATGAATATTTGTATTGTTTGTTTTGGTTTGTCCGCGCATATAATGTTTATGATATTGTGTAGGAATTCTCGAGAGGGTAAGGAGATGTATAGAATTAGGAATGAATTATGGAATTAAGAATGTATGATATTATATGTTGGGAATGTTTGGAATGATGAATATTATGATTGGAAATTGTATAGAAAATTTTGATAATTAAAGTAGAGTTGTGGTGTTTATTCGAGTCGGATGTTGTTTGTGTGGTAATTTCGATTGATTGTTGGTTTGGGATTTGGTTTAATTTGTGGTTGGGTTGGTTTAATGTATTAGGGATATTTAGAATTGGAAAAAAAAATAGATTGAATATATTATGGGAATATGAATGATGTATAATAATTGATGTTATTATTGTTATTATGTTTTGGGATATTTTATTTTGTTGGGGAATTGATATAATTAATAATTAAATATATAATTAATATGTTTATTGTAATTATAATTATTATATATATATATTGTTATAAACCGGTATGGTTTCGAGGTTGTGTTTTGTGTGTATTGATAAATCATTGTAATGGGATATAGTGCTTGCGGCGAGCGATTATGCTTGTGTTGTGTCAAATTTTTGTTTTTCTTCTCGATATAGGTTTGTGTGTTTTGGTGCGGCCTAATAGGCTCCGAAATTGGGGTTGTTTTCGGCGATATAGCTTTTATTTTTTTTTTTTAAAAAAAAAGAGATATATTTTTTTACAATTATTGTTCGAGGGAATTTCGTGTTGCCGGGTGTTTTTATATTTTTGCCTTTCTTTGTGTCTTTTAGTTTGTTTTCGTACAATTTTTATTTTGTTTATTTATGTCTTTATGCATTTTTGTGTATTCGAATTTGTTTGTTTTGGTGCTTGTACTTCTCTGTTTCTATTTGTTTGTTTATATCTCTTTGTCTTTCGAATTGTCTCGGTTTATCTTTATTAGTCTTTATGTGTTCGTGTCTGTTATTTATCTTTATTTCTTTGTATCTTTTATGTTTCTCTGTTTGTTTTTGTGTGCCCGTTTGTATTTATTTACTAATGTTTGTTTATTTCTATCTTTTGTCTTTATATTTTTATCTGTCTGCGCTTGTTCTTGCGGATTGGTTCATAAAGATTACGCACTTTCGCATTGCCACGTGCCGTATCTCTTTTATATTTGATTGTTTTCGCATTGTGCTTGTTTGTTTGCTTGCTTGCCTCCCTCTCTCTTTTGTTAATTCTCTTTTTTTTGTTCTCTCTTTTTCTTTCTCTCTTTTTGTTTTCTCTTTCTTTTTGTTTTTCTTTCTTTCTCTCTCTTTCTGTTTATCTTTCTCTTTCTTTCTCTCTCTTTCTCTCTCTTATTCTTTCTTTCTCTATCTCTCTCTCTCTTTGTCTTTCTCTTTCTTTCTCTTTCTCTCTCTTTTTCTCTCTCTCTTTTATTCTCTCTTTCTCTATCTCTCTCTCTCTGTTCTTTTCTCTTTCTCTCTTTTTCTCTCTCTTTCTCTCTCTCTTTCTCCTTTTCTCTACTTTTCTCTTTTTTTTTCTCTTTTTTTTTTTTATTAATGTTATTAATCTTTTGTTTGTCCTGTTTTTTTCTTTACCTTTGTTTCTCTTTTATTCTTGTTATTTATTTTTTCTTTCTTTTTCTTTTTCTTTTTCTCTTTCTTTTTATTTTGTGTTTTTCTTCTTTTATTTGTTTTATTAATATTGTCATTAATGAAATTAATAGATTCTCTTTAGTAATATATAATTAATTATATATTTAATATTAATTATTTGTTTATATTAATAATATATAATTATAATAATAATATATATAGTTATTGAATAATAAATTCAGAGTATATATTCATTTTATATATTATTATTATGTGTAAATATATAAATTTAAATAATATTATATATTTAATTAATATATATAATAAAACCATATAAAAATAATCATAATAATTATAATTAAATAAATTTAATTATAAATAATATTTATATATAATTATTCCCTAAATATATATAATTATTAATGGAATATATATGTTTTATATAATATATCAATTGCCAAATATATATATAAATATATCAAAATTTAATTAATGTACTAAAATATATTCTTTCTATAAATATATATATTATATTATAAATATATTAAATATATAAATATATAATCAATATAATAATCAAATATATAAAATTAATTATTAATATATATGTTTAAATCATGAAAATAAAACCAAATCGAATATAACATATCCAATAAAATAGAAATAATTTCAAAATAAAACAACAAAATCACATCATAATATCAAAAACCACTAATATCAACCTACAAAAAAACACAAACAAACATAATACAAAATAACAAATATTAATTAATATCAATAAACATTACAAATGCCACCATCTTAATTTCATTCGTTTCTCCTTCAATGAATTTTAATTCTTTTTATAAAATCCTTTTCATCTTTCCCTTAAATATAATAATATTATTTAGAAATTTTAAGTCCGAACCGCCAAACACATCCAACAATTCAGAATATTTATCCCAATTAAATTTAAACAAAAATCACAAAAACCAAATAACAAACATAAATATTTACACCAAAACAACAAATTAAAATAAATAAGACCGCTTACCACAAACACAACAAAAAAACCAGAATACCATTATAACGCCTATATAATACACGAGAAATATAATCCATCAAAGACAAACGAATATATATCCTCAATTTAATCTTCATAATTGTTTTTTTTTTATCAAAACCATGTTTTTAAAAAAAAAATACTACTAAAAACAAAACAAATTTCTTGGAAAAAAATCTATATCCCCTAACATCATCAAAATTACCTTCTTACCATATCCTAATTTTAATTTACAAAACAATTACAATTAATCTAACCGAGATTTAAATAAAACCAAATACAAAAATAATTTAAATAATTATATAATTCCTTATCTATATAAACCATACATTATAAAATACATCCAATATAATTATATTTTCAAAAATTAATTCTAAAAATAATAAAATATATAGTTTAATTAATATTAATATTAATCAATTATATTCTTAATTATTTTTTTTTCCAATATCTCATATATAATTTTATATATCGAACCCAACTTAAAAATTGAAATACCAAAATAAAATTTATTTCTATAAATTGTATAAATATAATCAATATCAAATAAAATAATAGTATTTTTTTTATTTCCTTATCCCAAATTCAAAATCTTTAAAATCCCATATAATCCAAATAAACAATATATAGTATTTACCCCAAATTCAAAATATCTAAAAATAATAATATATATTATGGTTATATATAAACATTAATTTTCATCCTACCAAATATAAAAACATATATATAATCCAAACAAAAAAATGTGTTCCTAATCCCAAGCTTAAACTACCCTATAGCCGACCTCAAAAAGACATCGTTTAATTTATTTTCATTTATTGTCATATAACCTAATCCAAAAAAACAAATCCTATCCTAAATTCGAAATACCCTACAGCCGACATCAAAAAGCGCTAAATGTAATCGTCTTTTTCCTTACCCCAATTTCGAAGTACTCTGCAACCGACGTCAAAGGGCCATTATTTACATTCTCCTTCCATACGCTAAGAGCCCCACTTAACCTAGGCAAAAAAGTAAATACTTTTCCCCACCCAAAATTTAAGGCGCCTTGCAGCCGACGTCAGAGGGCGCTGTTTGTAATCGTTTTTTTCCTCGAGGCACTCTGCAGCCGACATCAGAGGGGCATTGTTTACCCCCTCAACACGTTAAGAGCCCGATGTGACCAAGGCAAAAAGATGTCTTGTTCCCTACCCAAAATTCAAAGCACCCTACAGCCGACATCAGAGCGGCGTTGTTTGCTCTTCTTCCATGCGTTAAGAGCCTCACGTGACATCAGCCCCAGTTTATTAATAGGGGACTGTCCACTGGCGTCGGCGGATCGCGTAGCGATTTCAATAATATAGAACAAATACATACCACTCAACTAAATAACATTCTAAAGATTACTTATTTCCCGTGCCGCACAGAGCCGTTACGACGGTACTCCGGCCGAATCACCGTTCTTGCAAAGCAAAAGCTCCTGCCTCCTTACGCGGCGCGGAAATCCCCGGCCGGTTCTCGAATTTTTGATCACTTCCAACGACCCGGCACTCAGATCTCCAGACAATACCTCTGCGTGTTTCGGCGTCTCCGGCGGGCTGAAAGCTACTTCTGTCGCGACGCCTGACGGACGCTATCTTCCGAATGATTTCCTTTCGTGCTTTTTCGCGCAATGCATCGATTCGTAGATCATGCCTGCGAGTTTCCTTCTTTACTCGCAGCTATTACGAATTTTCACAGCTCCAAACCTTTGACAAAATGCAAATCTGGCCGGAACAAACTCCCAAACGATTGGCCACGGATTTTGCAGGGAACCTATTTTGGCAACAGAAATTCTGTGGGCAACCCCATTTGGAAATAACCCAAATCAACCTCAAGGGGTACCTACCACACTACGGCGAGCAGAGCGCTTGAACCCAATTTATTGCAGTCACGGAAGGGTGCCGATGTGTGCATTTCCTTTTGCAGTGGCATCTGAATCTGAACCCCAAACAAAGAACATGCCCTATTTCTGGGAGTCAAATCGGGGTCTGGCCGGCCAAAGTAGAACGCGATGACAGAATGCCTCATGGAACCCGTGAAATCGGTGCACCAAGACGCAGTCAGCAGTCGGCGAGAAGCGATTTCAGCTTGGTTGGGAGCCATCCGGTGCATCGCACCCCACTCGCGGTGACACATGTGCCATGGTCAACACCTGACATGAACTGGGTCCAAGAACGAAAGGGGCAACCGAACCAATTGCTAGTTGGCTGTGGGTCAAAACCAATGGTGCCATTTTGGGATAGGTGCACCACGCATTTTAGTCTATTTTGGTGGGGATTGGCATGTTCACTGGGGGTACGGGGTTTTGACCCATGGCCAGTTGGGAGGACTCTAATCCTTCAATCTCCCTGGCTCATTTCGGTCCTGCGGCCACACTCAGACGCATGCAGTGAGTTCTCCGATTTTTCTGGCTGTCCTCTGCCCAGTGAAACACACTGGCATCCCATTTCGGCCCAGAGCATCCTCTTGTATCGGGTTCCGTTACCGAGGCTCTCTGTAAGAAACAGCGAAGTTTGTGGTTAGTGGAATCGATCCTGAGGTGTCCTTTGACCATGGCACGCGAGTCCATCATTTCCGAGGCTCCCCCAGCTCGATTTCGGGTGCCTGCCGCTCGGGTTTTGGGCCGTCGGGATCGACCGGTACATCTTTCAGTTCTCTTGAGTGCCAATTCAACGCAACTGGCGAACCCCTGAATCATGTCACTTCTATCCAAATCCTGTAAGAACATTGGCTTCTCATTCATATATGGAAATGGCCAGCTGCAGCAAACAACGAATTGTCCTTCACGTTCCACCACGTGCCACCTCTGGAAAAAGGCATTCGGGGGAAGCTGGAAGTGGCCCTGCCTATCCAATCTTTCGGCTTTCCACGCTTGAGATGACCCAAGATGGCGAGAAAGGGGAAGAGACAAAGCTCGAGCTGCAGACAACAATGCGCCATCCAAATCAACGGCTGGCATCATACAAATCATTGCTGTCGGCATTCAACTAACCTTTTCAAAACACTTGGTTGTCCTCACAGGGAGAAAGGGCTACATGAAAGCCAAGGGATGGGTTTTGAGGTTTGTTGATCTCCTTCGATTCCGCCGGATCTTGTCCTTTTTTGGAGAAAACACGCTGGACCCGGGACCCGGGACCCAGTCAAGCTACATAGTTGAACGCCTTTGGGTTCCACGTTGAAACATCACGGTTCAGGACCCCCCCCCTTAAAGTGACAGTCCCGGATGGTGCAGGTTGGTATCATAGAAATTGCTATGTCCTACAAGGCTGCTTGTGGATGCGTAGTAGTCAGCAACCAGCATCTATCAATAGTTTCAACACACCTACTCAATATCGTTCAAAACAGTCCACTCAAACAGCTCAAGAAACGGGATGGCTCTAGGCGTGCACATGTTCATGTGTTCAGACTTAACCTATACTTCTGGCAAAACTTATTTGCCAGTTGAGAAGGAAGATATCCTGGCGTATTTATGGTGAAACATCTCAAGGATGCAACTATATCTAGTTGCCAAGAGATGCAGGAAGAAAAATATGCGGCATTCCTGTGTTTCGAGAAGCTAACAAGAATGAAACACAGTTGAACAAACGAACAGCGAACCCCTTTTGCTTGTTGAATCTGGGGTCTGGAAACAACAAATGCGCACCGCAGGCTAGCACCCGTTACATGCCTACACAAATGTGTATATATATATATATATATATGTGACGATGGGTCAAAAGCCAGTACCCCCAGTGAAAATCCCAATCCCCACTAAAATAGGTTCTAAAATGGGTGGTGTGCACCTACCAACCAAAATAGGATCCCAAAACGGCTTTGATCCACAGCCATATACATACATGGCTGTGGCTCAAGAACATGTACCAAAACTGCGCCTGGGTAAATGGAACCAAAGACTAAAATCCGCGTAACCCTAGCTGGAAATTTTTACGCCACACCCACATAGCAATCTCCCACTAGCTCACCAAAACGGCCCCACGGGATCGCCTTGAGCTGCTGAACCTCCTCCTCGGTGGCTCGGAGACCAATCCCAAGCTCCAATGCGGAGCTCCAGTCCAGGGTGAAAGTCGTGGCTGTGGCTCAGAAATAGGTTCCCCAGAATTGTAAGAGGAAACATGGAGCGGTCCCCTGTTGGCTTCATTTTGACCCGGCAGCCAGAGGAAATTCCTGATTCTATGAGGGTAAGCAAAGAGATGACCGAGCCAACGTGGGGGAATTGCGCCCCAGGCATTTTTCCTTGGGTGTTTCATAGGGTGGTTCGTTTAGTCGCATACCCAACAAAAAGGGAATGAAATCAGGGGTGAGTGATTGTTGGAGCAAGGGGCTTGGAACTTAAGTGCTGAATGTGTGTTTTGTAGTGAGTTATATTATTGCTGTAAATCCAGGTTTCAGCAACGCTCTTGTTTTCTTGAACACAAACTCGGCTTCCACGAAACCCTAGAATTTTTGCAGTGCATCGCCGTTAGGCTCGCGCTGCTCAAAACGGGCTACCTTCCCTTTTGCTCAGGGTCGGCAGCTTCTCAAAACGTCGCCCCCTATTCAGGGCCAGCTCAAACCGCTTACTGACTTCCGCCTGGTCGCTGTCGGGCACGGAAGGTATGTCGAGGCCTCCCGGCCAGCACACATTGTCAACGCATGCCACAGGCCATCCCTCGTCCTCGCGACGTGCACCATCCCGGATGAATGCAGAGCAACCGCCTGAAGTCCGGGGTTGTGCATCTTGGGCACGGCAAACTCTCCATGGCCCAAGTTGCCCTCCTCAAGCCATAGCAGTTCATGCGAGCATGGTACTTCTCACCCATCCTTGTGTAGAACACGCTGGGCGCCACCGGGATTCCATCATTTCTCGACGATGACTCCCTGTGCCCAACGACGCTGGATTGACTTCAGCGCCGGCTCCGCGTGATCCTGCCTGAGGTTCCGGCCACAACCATAGGTCCCTGCCAGCCGTCCGCCCTTTCCTGCATCACGCCCTTGATGTCCGATGACCGCCGCATCATCCACATGGAGTCAACTTCACGTTCCTGGCCAGCTATCCCGTTGACCGTGCCACTGAGCCCCTTGGTTCCATAGGCGTTCCCCCTTCCTCCCAGTCCTGATCCTAGACCATGCTCTCGACGGATCTAGCCAGGATTCTGTTGTCACCCGTGATGAGGAAGATGGCCCCGCCGTAGAGCTCTCCTCTGCCACCAAGACGAAGGCCTCGGTGTAGCATCGCCCTCTGTGGCCTCCCTCGAAGATGACGGCATGCCAAAGATCTTCAAGTGGTCATAGTTCCCACCATCTTTTTCCTCCGGCTTCTCTTCCATGGCCACCGCTCCTTGAATCTGCGTACAGCAGCAGGCCAACACCACCACCAGTCCTCGGCTTTTGCCCACCTCCAAACTAGCCAGGACCGGCTTCTCCATGTTATCCTGGTTCTCTTCCTTCTCCTTCGCCTTCATGCCCATCAGATTTATAACGCTTTCGATCATTTCCATCAGCCCTTGTCTTGCAAGCGATCACCAAGTTCTGCCACTTCACCATCACGCAGCCGTGCGATGGAGCTCGTGCAGGTGCTAAACTTGAGTCCGTGTCGGCCTGAAGTCCCGTTCCATCCCAACCCACGCCAGTGTCCGGAGTCGGAGTGAAGTGAGTCCCACCGCCAACGTCCCATTGAGAAACTTGAAGGCTTGGAGGCCCACCTTCTGCTCGCGTGGCACGCTAGCTAATTTATTCACTAATGTCCTTTTCCATCTCCGGCTCAGCCATGTCCTTAGATAGCAGAATCACCGCCTTCCTTTCCACAAGGTTTTTGATGTAATACTCCTCGGTTAGAATGCCGTCTTTCTCCAGCCAAAGCTCCATTCCGCCCGCATACAGCTGCTGCAAATCATGTCTATCACCATAATTCCCACACACAATAGCCTCAACCCCAGGCTTCAGGGTGTATAGCCTTGCCTGGTAGCACCTGGGCCTTCCTGTCCAAGTTCACGAGCTTCTTGAGTGAGCCCATCTCCTTCCCAATCGCTTCCTTCCAACCTTGCCTCTGGAGTCTGTCTGCTCCTCCACTGTGAGATTCTGGATGGTGTTTACCATTCTCTCCACCACCTCAGGCTGTTCCTCTCCTCCTCTTCCGCCAGCTGCGCCAGCCTCCTTATCTTCAACGTTCCATCATCCTCCAACCTCTTCCTTGGAGTCTTCTCTCATACCGTTCTCCTGAACTTGTGCGGCTTCTCCTGTCCACCAACCTCCAGTCCGGTCCCTCTGTTGGCATTGGCGTCCACTTGCGCAACACGCACGCAGCCGTCTGAATGGATCCGTCATGTCAATTCGGCACCTCCGCAATTGGGGTCATGTAGTAAGCCTTCTCATTCAGCGGCCCCACTCTTTTCTCTTCCATGTTCGCTTAGTTCGCTTCTTCACCAACACCTCCTAGCCAAATCTCGGCATTTCAGTAGGCTTCCCCCAGCGGCTCCTCCTCTCCTTCTCTGCTGCATATCTGGCCGTGCAAGGCCAGTAATCTCCTCCCATTTTCAGCAGAGTGAAGTAGGAGTGAAGTAGTCATCGAGTTCGATCTTTCAGCCCCCTGATTGCCCTTTCCACACGGCCATTGTGGCGATAGTCATCGGCTGCAGTCTTGCCAAACACCAGCTCGCCAACACCTAACTCTCGGCCACAGTCAGAATGAAGTCGGGCTAGGGGAAGATTCTCCCGCCTCAGCTCGAAGTACATCTGTTGGATCGCCTCCAGGAATTCCCTCACCAACGGGATCATGAACCACAGCGTCTTCACCGGTAGTGGTGGAGGGCCTCCTCTTCTTCTTCTACCTCTGCCGGGTTCATCTGGGCATCCTCCAACTCCTTCGCATCATCTTCGAGCTCGAAGTCCAATCTCCTGCCTCCGAGGCTTTTAAATCCGGCTCATGTCTATCACCAGTTCTGGTCGAGGTGGTGGGTCAGGTGAAGATAGTTCTTCCTGCCCAGCTGGAGTCATCCTCGAACAGTCGTTCACCTGCTTTGCAGTTCTCCAATCATCGGCAACCGCGACATACGCGGCACCTTTTGTCTTTCTTGCCACCGTGCGCCTCACATCCGTCAGCTGGTCGATGGGCAGGGCATTCTTCAGCCTCCGCCAGGGCGAACTTGCCCTTTCGATGGGACTTGTGCACCCTGATAACCATTCGACCATCTGGGTGCTCCACAAGGAAGTGGGGTTCTTCTTTTTCTTTGCGCTGAGGCCTTCTGGAGATGCCATTTCTTCAAGGCGTCCTGCTTGGGATCATAACCTGTAAATCCAGGTTTCAGCAACGCTCGTGTTTTCTTGAACACAAACGGCTTCCACGAAATCCTAGAATAGTATTGCGCCAACCTGACGTTAGGAATCCCTGAAAAACCCGAGCTTGTTTTGCCCTGTGGTCAGCGCCCTCGCTATGACTTCTGCATAACACAGGGGTTTACCTCCCCCCGCTTGCGCACGAAATCCTGGAATCAAGCACCATCGCCAGGACTGCTCCCAAGAGTCAACGGGCCTCTTGTTTTCAGGAAGCGCAGAGCACAGGACACCAGTCCCATCTATTGTCATGGCAACCCCAAAAGGCCCATGATAAGTCTTTGAAACAGGGGTACAGATGAAGAAAAATGTGCTGCCCCTGGCACGAGTGCGAAAACGCTGGTCGAATAAATGGGCTACAAGATCTGGTGTAACCAACTGATGGCACAAGGATCCCATCCTGTCCTTCAACCGACTTCCAGAGAGCCATCAAGTTGAAGGTTGGCTCCCGGGCTCGAGATCATAAGGGCAGGGCTTGTGGAGGAACCCTCAAAAAGGTTTCTCCTTTGAACTCCCTGTCAAACCAGCCCAACAAATCCCAAAACAGGGTACACTCAAAAATGACACGCTCCATGGCAATAAACGACATACTCACTCTCTCAAAGCAACTGGAAATATATTTTTGTTGGGACCTCGACACAGCGCGACGCAACATGACCCCGAAGCAAACACAAAGGTCAACACAAACGGCGGCAGGCTTTGGACAACTCTGTCAAGACACTACGGCCAAGCGGCCAAATCATACGCGGATGTCTCTGCCAACCACAGCAGCCAAAACATTAAGCCCTCTTAGAAACACTCATCCAAAGATCTGCCAAGTTGCGGGATCTCCTCCGACCTCCACGCCGTTCCCGGAAGGGCCATTCAAGTCTCAAATGGAGAGGACCCTCATGATTGGTTTCAATTGGACTAAAAGTTAGGCGATCCTCCGACTCCAACTGATCGGTTTTCCGTTCTTCCTTGACTCACTTCCCGAGTGGATGGGAAAAATCAAGTCTAGACTTCTCCTGGTTTCCAGTGGTTGTTGGGGACATCTGACTGCGGAACCCATCCAAGAACAAAAAGGAGATTGAACCCTATCGCGCGCCAAATAGGTACCATTGGCCCTTCTTTGTCTGGGGTCCCTTGACCATAGGAGAGCTGCAATGCAGCTACCCACAACACATTCTCATTGGCGCCCGCATTGAAGGAAGGTGAAGGAAAGCCACCCTTGCCGAAAATCGATACCCTCTCCAACCAGCCACAACAGGCTTACAAAGGTTACTCTTCTGATCAGGGGCTATTGTGAGGGTGTACTTCCAGGCCATTGTTTGGTAAATATAGCCAAGCAGGGCTGCGGTTTCCCTGTAATCGGAACCAACCTGGTGGGCTTCGCGCTGGAAACCAAGCAGTCGCAGCTTCCTTCTGTTGGCTCGCAGCCGAGTCAGCTCATATCTCCTTGCCCAGATGGAAACCCTAACTCCTTCCCTACCTTCCTGGCATTGAGGGCTTATGTTTGGAGGAACAACGATATGACTTTGTGTGTGTGTGTTCTTCCTAAGTTGTTTGATGTTTGATTTTTGAATTCGACTTTTGCTTGATATGATTATAATCAACTTATTGTGCTGTTTGCTGATTGTATAGCAGAAAGATGCGGTTGGTTTGACACCCTCATGGCAAGTGGAGAGTGCTTGGGTACCTGATCAAATGCCAGTTTCTTGAAGTTGAAGCAGCCATTCTGAGTGAATTATAGTATTTTATTTCACCAGCCTGAAATAAGCTGGTTTGGGGGCTATTCCCCACATACACAGCCATTTGGGGTGAGGTCGTGTGAGGTCGTTATAATTCACCCAGAATCTCAGCTGGCGCTACGCGTCCGCCCCGGACATTTTCCTCTTGTTTCGTCCGACGCTCCATTGTATGCATCCCAGCCGACAACCAAGCAGTTGTGAGCCTCCCAACCGTTGAAACCATTCAAGTGTCTCAAGTGGGGAGTGTTTTTTGAGGGTAACCTTCTCTCCTTTGTTTTATTAGAAAAAAAGAAACACAAAGGAACACTGAGGCAAATTTAGAGGTTGGCCTACAGTTGAAGGGGTGATCCAAGCAGGGCCGCGTATCCCATCATCGCACCTTCTGTGGCGCCACGTCCTTCGGGCCTGGCAACACGCTTAAATGACACCGAGTCCCACGATGTTTTTCGTTCCCAGTTATTCTGTGGCTCCCCCAAAATCTCCCTATGTTGCCCTGACTCAGAACTTCCAAGCACGCCGTCTCATTCACAAACAAAACTCTGGCACATTTTGCAAACAGCAGCTTTCCGGGAAGACTGTCATTCATGACCCCCTTTCCCAAATTTCAACTGTTGCGAACACTCCAACTCCCCAATGTCACACAAACAAAAAAAACAAGCTTGTGTTTCTTGGCCAGTTGAAGCATGTGTAATGAACCACTGCTCAAACCTCGAGTTTTATTTTGCTCCAAATGCCTGGCGCCGTTCAAATGAGTTGTGCTTGGCTGAAACGTGTCTCGGAGGCGGGGATTCTGTGACACTCACTTGCATGCGTCCAAGCCGTTCCGACTTTAGCCCATGAAGTGGGGAAGGGAAGTGATCTTCCTGCTTGGCCAATGGCAAATGCACCAGTTGTTTCATGTTTCTTGGAGTTGTTGGCATCTTGCAATCCTGAGACAAGAGCAGCTGTGACTCTAAACCAACCTTCTGCGCAAGTCCCTGCCTGCGCTTTTCGGCTCCTTGCCTTTGAGGTAGCTGAGATAGCCTCAGTGAAGGCAGCAGCACAAGACGCACACCCAGGCTGTGACTGTCGATTGAAGCCCTTTGAATGGATTTGAAGGCACACCACAAGGAAAACAACTTTTTTGGGGGGCCCTTAATTGTGAGAGCCTCATTTGTCAGACAAGCTCACGTTGACCAGGCATCCCTGCAGTGCAGAGGGTTTATTGCGGGCGTCAACAGTATCTGGGTGAACTATAACCTTCACCCAACATCATGCTACCAACCTGTGGCGACCAAGATGACAAAATAACAGCCGACATAGGATTTTATTTGAATGGAGCTTGCTCAAATAGACATTCAAACACTACTCCCGCTCCCCTCTGTTCTTTCTGTCCAAGAGATCCGAATCTTCCCGCAGTAAAAAGCACACAAGACAAGCACAAGAGTAACTTCTCAAACACCACCAAACCAGGATTGCAGGCAAGCTGGCCGACAGCAGCTGGGTAGGTTAACTAAGTCCATATTCATTGCAGCCCTCAATACCGCTGGAAATTTCGTGAAGTTTCAAGTCTGACTTTGCTTGTGGGGCAACTCGTTGAGTATCCCCCATTCAGCTTGCAAATGGTGGGGCTGTTGCCGGGTGTGGGCTGGTTGTTCAGTGACCCTGGAAAAAGAAAGGGACCCCTTTTTTGGGAAGACCACTTTTAGTGGGACAGCCGCACAAAAAATAGGGAAAAAGGGTGGCACCGAACAACTGAGACAAGGGTACCGGGCCGGTCTTTGCCCATGCGGCCAAGAAGCTCTTGTAGAAGAGCGACGCAAAGACCAAGCACAGCGCCAAGATCTGCAAGATGCTGATAGGGTGGGCATACCTCGCAGTCCCATGGAAGTTCAACTGGCGATTCAAAGGAGACTGGACGAAAGTTATGAACCAAAAGGACGAACAAACAAATTCCAACTCCCCGTTGGAAATCATGACGCCACACCTCAAACACACCTGTTGAGAAAGACTAGCAGACCAATAGGGGAAGTGTGTTTCGGGGGAGGGGGTGGTTGGGGGGGTTCGAGTAGTGCTATCAAGGCGCACAGTCAGAATCTAAAGCCGGTAAACAAGTCCAGCCAAAGCCATGTCGATAATTTTCAAGGGTGAGAAACCTATGTATGCCCCCAGATTTCAGAAAGAAGTCCAAAACGGGGGCACTGTAAATGTGGGACACCCCCGCTAAACAAAACATGAGGTATTTCTGCTGGTTTCCCTTTCAAACAACCCCAAAGGGTACCCTCGAAAAACAAAAACAAAGCAACAACAGGAAAACAAACAAAATCAACGACTATTTGAAACTATACGGGCAAAACTAAGGTAAGGTCCACCCGCTTTCGCCAACAAAGCTAAAACTTGGCAGTGAAAACCATTTGCAATTTATCATACGAGGGGCTGAATCAATACACAAGTCACTCTCTCATGATGACAACCTAACTTGGTTTGAAAGGACCTCCAACCGCATGTTATTCATTTAGGCCCATGTAGTACCCCAAAGAATCCTCTTAGTGCTTGGGGGGGAGGGGGGTTTGGAAACCACTGACACACCTCAGCCGAGCGTCAGGACATAGGAGGTCAGGATGGACAGCACCTGGCGCATGTTCATCGTCGCCGCCAGCACCAGAGCGCCGAACTCCTCGGATCGAACATGCCAACATGTTTTCTGTTTTTTTGTTCAATAGATATTCACATTTACACGTATATGCGTATATATATATATACATATTCATGTAGATACACATGTAGGCAGGTGAGGAGGTAGGTAGATGCATATACATACACAGATAGACACCGTGCGTTTGTATAAGCACACACGTGTCTCTCACAATCCACATGTTTGATTTACGTCCTACAGTTTGCATCGAGTACCGGCGGCCCGCAGTCGTGGACCTAACGCACGCTTCGGCAGCAGATTATTGACATCCGCGTCATCTGCGCAGTCCTTCACCAAGGAGTAGATGAAGAACCTGGGCAACCAACCCCAGCCGTGAGAGACTGCCCATTCCTTGCTTTAAGGGCAAAGGGTCCAGCGCTCTCATGCCCCTTGAAATCCCGACAGCTAAAACCAGTGGTTGACTTCCCCTGCGACTAAGCCTGCCCACCGCTCCTAGCCGACTCACTGCTCCCAACGATCCGGGCAGCTTTCTACTCAGGAGCTGCAAAGGATGCTCCAAGGAAGGGGCCACCATGGGTGAGGTTTATCCCCAGGTCTCAGCAAAAAAGTTGGGAATGAAAGACCCCAAGGGTTTCGTCTCGTGAGCTTGTTGGGCTCCGCGCTGTCCGGTGACTGCTGAGGCAGAGAGCAAGGAGGCGTCCATCAGGAAGGTCGGGTGCCTTTTTTCATGGAGCGAGCCCGCCCGAAGTTTCCGTGGGTTTGCTTTCGCGTCTTGGCCATGGGTTTGCTTCGATGACAAGTAAGGAAGCACCACATGGCGTTTCATGAATCTCGAGCCCAGTGTTGGGTAAGAATTAAACGCCACCAGCGCCTGTCATCAGGAAAGCCCTGCGTTTGTGTTAGGCAAGATACTGCATTCTCAAATCGCTTCACTTTTGGGAGGACCTGCGGCGGATGTTCAATGTGCATGGACTTCACAATTATTGTCCGTTTGGCACTGTGTTTGGCACAAGTTTGGCATACTCCAAGCGGAATCCCCGCCCACTTTTAGGGGCATGCATCTTTTCCAATACACATGGCTGTGGGTCCAAAATCGGTACCCAAAATGGAACCCTGGTAAGTGGAAACATGGACCAAAACCTGCCGTCCCCTGGTGGCTGAATTTTGACCCATACCCACATGACCCAGAGGGAATGTGAAGTCGCTATCGATACATTGCTTGGTACCTTGTGGCCCCTATCCACCGCATGGAGAGAACACAAAACAAGGGTTTCTGACAACAAACTAAAACTAAGACTCAGTTGTTCAGCGACCCTAGAAAAAAGGGAACCCTTTTTGGGGAAGAACATTTTTAGTGGGGCTGCCACCAAAAAAGGGGAAAAAAGGGTGCCACTGAACAACTGAGAAGAGGGAAACACAAACACGGACATCGCAATTTGGGTCTGCAAACAATTGCCGAAACATGGCTGCTCCGAGAACCCTCTGGAATGGTTGAGAATTCGTACCTCATGAATGGAAGCCAAAGGCTTCCATTTGCAATTGTCTACCACTGGGGTTTGGTCATCTTTTAGGAACTCGGAGCATTTCTGTTCAACGTTTGGCCTTGGACAAGTTAGCTACAAGAGCCACCCTGTGACCGAACATGGCAAACGTTGCTCCGATACGCTGCGCCCAAGGCGTTATTTCCGAATCCACAAACGGATTTGCTGCAATGCAGATTCAGCTGGAACCTCAATGGCTTTGCAATCTTTATGTTGAGAGGAATCACCTTTTCCTGTGTCGCTTTTCAGGGTATGCTTTTGGGGTTGTAAAGTTTGATGCTACTTTTCTTGGTGTTGCTTAGGTAAGCAAAGGGGAAACCCGGGCCCTTTGGCGAGTTCCTGAACCCACGACTGCCAAATTGCCGTGCCTGCCAATGAAGCCCAGGGCCTCCGCGTGAGCACAAGATCGACACATACCCAAATGAGGATAAGTATTGTAACACATTGATTGACACATACCCAAATGAGGATAACTATTTTGACACATATCCGAATGAGGACAACTAGTTTGACACATATCCAAATGAGGATAACTATGTTGACACATATTCATGTGAGCATAACTATTTCGACACATATCAAAATGAGGAAAGCAACTTTGACACATGTCCAAACGAGGATAACTATTTTGAATCATCTCCAAATAAGGATACCCACATGAGGACAACTATGTTGACACATATCCAAATGAGGATAACTATTTCGACCCATATCCAAATGAGGATAACCAATATGACGCATATCCAAATGATAATCACTATTTTGACACATACACACGAGGATGGCTGTCTTGATATATCCAAAGAGGATAGCTACTTTGACATAATCACGTATATCCAAAAAAGGAAAACAATGTTGACACATATCCAAACAAGGATGACATTCTGACACATATCCAAATATTTGACACATATCTATACGAGGATAGCTATATTAACACATATCTAAATCAGGATAACTAGATTGAAACATACCCAAATCAGGACAACTGCTTTGACACATATCCACATAAGGACAACTGCTTTGACACATATCCAATCTGGATAACTATTTTGACCCATATCCAAATGAGGATAACTATCTTGACACATAGGGAAGCTATTTTGACACATATCCAGATGAGGACAACTATATTGACACATATGCAAATGAGGATAACCATGTTGACACATATCCAAACAAGGATGACATTCTGACACATATCCAATGAGGACAGCTATTTTTACACAAATCTAAACGAGGATAGCTATATTGACACATTTCCAAATGAGGATAACTATTTTGACACATACCCAATTCAGGACAACTGTTTTGACACATATCCAAATAAAGAAAACTAGATTGACACATATCTAAATGTGGACAACTGTTTTGACACATATCCAAATGAAGATAACTATACTGACACATATCCAAACAAGGACAACTATTTTGACACATATGAAAATGAGGACAACTGCTTGGACACATATCTGATATAACTATTCTGACACGTATCCAACGCAGCACACCTATATTGACACATATCCAAATGATGATAACTGTTTTAATGCATATGCGACTAAGCATAACCATGTTGTCATATATCTCCAAACGATGATATCTGTTTTGACACATATCCAAATGAGGACGATTATTTTGACACATATCCGCATAAGGACAACTGTTTTGACACATATTTAAACAAGGATGACATTCTGACACGTACCTAAACGAGGATAGCTATATTGACACATATCCAAATCAGGATGACTATGTTGACACATACCCAATTCAGGACAACTGTTTTGACACATCTCCAAATAAAGAAAACTAGATTGACACATATCTAAATGAGGACAACTGTTTTGACACATATCCAATCGAGGATAACTACTTCGACACATACATCAGTCAGGGTTCTGCCCCTAGGTTATTGTTTTCCCATTGGCTTGGAGCAACCCTTCCAAAGTCCGGGCCCTACTAGTTGGATTCCTAATGATTGGCACATGTTGCGAGGAAGCGGTTGGACGGCTCTATGGCCATGTTTCGCGGTTGGTTCGCTTACAACTCAAGCCACAAACTGGGAATGGGCCCATGACCCGGCGACGGACACAAATCTGAAACTGGTGTCTAACTGCATGACGGTTTCTTGGACACCGGGGCAGTGAATATGAAACTCTGGTTCTCGGACGTCTGAAGCTTCAAATGTTAAACTCAGCTTAATAATTTAATAAGCAACCATGCCAGGTGTCCACCGGAAAAGATGGACGGGACATGGACATCCATGCAGAGAACCGTTTTCCTGTCTGTCACCGGAAGGGATGACCAACGATAAGAGAAAGGGCCAACACATGTGGTTGATCTCAGCAAAAGGCAAGCAGCCAGCTTGCAGATGGTAAGGCACAGGAGGGCACCTGGAGAAAGCGGCGCATCAAAAACATATGCGCGGAAACGTAGCCATTTGGACTGAAAGGCCAAAGGTTGAGAATTTCTACCGAACATTTGGTGAGGGCAACGTTGAGGGCAACCAAGGAGCACATCTCGCCGACACATCTTGCCGATGTTGAAGAAAGGGCGAGCCGAGTCGCACAACCAGTGAAAGTCCACTGACCAGGCGTCTCAAACTCGCTGTTGCCATGGCAAAAAACGAGCAATTGATTGAAATCCCCTCCCCCAAAAACGCTGGTGTCGCTTTGCTTGGAAGGAAGCGGAGATACGGGCCTTCCGTCTTTCAATGATACAGCTTGTTGAATCCACCCTTTTTGGAGTGGTTTCAAGGGCTATTCAAGGGGGAACGCAATTATTTAGAACTATTTAGAGAGAACCCAGAAAGGCAGCTTCAAGGATAAGCGGGGTACCTACTCAGGCTGCAGCTAAGGAAACCCCTCCAAAAGAGTGACTGAAGGGCTACCTCAGCCCACCCCCCCGCCCACCCCGCACCGTGGTGGCTCCGCCGCTCGCCAGCAGCGTCGCTAAGGAAACAACACAGGAGCTGCTGTTCACCTGTCACAGTTTTGCCAAGAATCGGTGTAATGTTGACCCCATACTGTGGATGGACGAAATTATGCACCACTTGGAAGCCATGAAAAACCATTGTTGGTTGGTATTTACAGGGGAACCATCATTCCAGGGTTTCTTAGGTGGCGCACGATGTCGTCCAACCACAGTATTAATCAACCCCAGTTTATTCATAGGGGCGTGTCCCTGAGTGACATGTGGGAATCAGACATTTTTGGCGCGGCAGCCACCCCCTACTAATAGACTCGTTGGTTGATTAATATGGGGTCAACATTACAAGCCATGTGCCCCTTGTGAACCGTTCGGAAGAAGCTGGGAGCCCTTTGTGCAGGTTTGCTTTTTCAACAAAGCCATCAGACAAACGAACCATCCCGCCAAGCCATTAAGAAATATGGGCAAGTCTTTGACTCATGCTTTCCAGAAGTGAAACGATTCACGAGGAAACGAAAAGGCAACCGCGAAAAGCAACAATGGCCAGATATCTTGCTTGTTCTCCCCCAGCAGCGATTGCATACGAGAGTCAATTTATGGCCCAAAGGGGCCATGCAATTCTCAGATGGTCTACCAAGAGCAAGCGTGCCATGGAGTGATGGCCAAATTCTCTTCAAAACCCAAAGCGAAGTTGAACACCACCTAAAGAATGCGCGGAAGCCTTGCAATCAAGGAACTGGACAAAGGCCGACTTTCCAGCCAGGAAAGTGCAAGGGACCCTCTACAAGGGCCCCCTAGCCATCCAAATGGGCTAGCGCAAGGGTCTGTTGGCATGGGCCTCTGACATCCGGGGAAATTCGCTCGGGCAAATTGGGGGGGGGGGGGGGGGCAAAAACACCGCCCAACACTTTGACACCATTCGCTACAGCGAACCAAACCCGACTGGAACCATCATTGCTTCTCTGAGTGGGGAACCCACCAAGATGTGAAGGGCGGCCGGGTTTCCCTTTCATCCCAACACGGGTACCAACTCCAAACAGGATGAGGGCTGTTTGGAGCCGAGCGAGCGGCAAAACCTAAGACTCCTTTGGGAAATTTCGAATGGGAAGTTATGTTTTTTGGGGTTTCACTTTCATCCTGAAGATTGCTGACACTTGTCTTTGGGGTTTCGCCAAATCATCGAAGACATACCTCTAGATGAGAGAGTTTAGCCTCTTGCTCCAGTTAGTCTTGCAGCAAAGCCGCCAAAATGGGCGGCTTTTGTTTCGGGCAAATGCAGTCGAACCTTGAGGATAGGACTCTGGAATAGCAAGATTTCTCTACATTTCTTGGTTGACGTTGGACAGTTAAGTGGGGGTTTCCCACCAAACCACAAACAATAAGCAAAAATGTAAAATGTTTCCCCTTTCAACATCATCCCGGAAGGAAACTCAAATGGCTGAGCTGATCTTTGAAACCACCTTTCAAGTGGAAACATAGGGAACACGAAGCTTCACGTAGCCATCGGACCGAGGCACATAAAGCATTTGGTTGTATTTGGAGGTCTTGTGCTCCTGCGGGCCAACGTTGGGCGTTTCCGACCCAAAGGGGGGCAGGGGGGCGCTGGGCCTAAGGCTTGAGACCGTTTGGTTGCAACCCAGGTAATCCAAGGGCGCAAAGCCCCTTGTCAGGTCCCGTTTTAAGCGCTCCATCTAAGTCACAAGATTTTTCGGCCATGTGTCTGTAAGGTTTCCTAAAGGCTCACACGGCAGTGTGTCCACCCCTCATGTGTGTGCTTTTGCTGGCCATCTTTATGGGCGGAAGTGATAAATGGGACCAGGGCAACCACCCCATTTTACGGGCTCCATATCCCATGTTGAGCAACATACCTATATATTTCTCGGGTAGGGCCGTGCAGGGGTCATGTTATATTCCCCCCGATATTGCGCCATTTGGAAACAAGCCTTTTTTAACGGGCTTCCGATGCTCGGCGGGCAGCCCCGACGTTGGGTTTGTCAGGAAGTGCCCAAAATGATTGGGGGGTTCGTTAAACTTTGTTTCAGAATGGAAACTGCTTGGACTCAGTGGCAAACTAAATGGGTCGAAATGAGATTCGACTCTTTCGCTTGATGTCACTTGAGGTCCTAAATGCCAAGATCCTTTCTGGATGGTGTTAAAAAAGGCAAGCAAAAGAAAACCAACCTAGTTTTCAAGATATATGTTGTTCAAAGCATCTGCTCCCAAAGGCAGGTGAGCTTGACAAGTTGTCCTTGCAAGTTTAAAGGGAAAACCTACCTTGAAAAAACGGTTGCCACTTTGTGTTAGTTGTACTATTGTCAAAGTCAGCTTCGTGGACAAGTGCATGTTTCCGAGTAAATGGGACCCTTACTTAAATGAGCACGGCTTCTGTGTTGCGAGTTCACGGGCTTGACATCTCTGATGGAGAGAGGGCTCATGACAAGGTCATCAACATCTAGGGGTCCACCCAAACCCACAAACAATCCACCCGCGGAGATTCGCTGCAAACGGTTGGCGTTGCCCCCACATGAAAGGAATCCTCACAGCATGACTCAACAGGTACTCTGGGCTGCTTGGAAGCAGGACAATGATTGATAATCTCGGATCAAATCATGTGTGTGCAGGCGTGGTGAGTGCCATGTTCCAGCCAAAGTGGATTCCTTAGCCTGTCTTGCTTGACGCAAGGGCACATTCGTCCAGGGTCTGCATTTTGTTTCGCTTCGTTCCCTTTCAAAAGGCAAAGGAGTCAGTCCGCTCCAAAGGGATGAAACAAGTTGCTTGACTGTCTTAAACAAGCTTGGGGTCTGAACAAAAATCCATCTCCTAGTGGCTTCAGCTGAGTATCAACAGAACTGACCTCTCACAAAAAGGCCACAACCTATCAGCCCTGGGCACTGGGCCCGAGGCTTCTCCGTGAGCTCAGCGTGGTTCATGTTTATATCGAAAGCCCCCCAATCGCTACCAGCCTTTGCCTCTTTCATGGCCTAGAGAGCAAGTCGAGCATACCTGAGCAAGTCGACAACATCTCTGCCTTGGATGTTGGCAAATGACAGGACTTCCGCATTTGAACAAAGAGCCGAGCAGCAGCAAATTGCACGGCAGCCTCTGCATTTGTCTGCCTGGAGGCAGATCTGGACTACTCGGGTCAACTTGAGTAGTTATATACGGAGTCCCCAAACGTTTGATTGATTCAAAACAAATGTTGGTCAGTCAGAGACCGCCTTATTGAATGGCATGAAGCAAGACTAAACCCAAGCTAGCCATTTGTTGTCATTCCACAATCGAAGGAACTCCTGCCCTCATCTTAGTAACATAGCAACTTTGGCTACCCAGAAGATGAGTTTCCTCCAGTGAGGTTCCATGTTAAGTCGGAGGGAGCCTCTGGTGTACTGTGGATGGAAGGCAACTTGTTTTGTGCTTTCCCCATGGAAACATGCCCGACGTTGGGGCGGCCATTCTCTAGAAGTTAGAAGCTGGATGGGTCAAATAATTTCTTGGCCAAACAATGACTGACCTGCACCTGCCCTGGAAGTGGCGGTGTTGCCGCTTTTGCTTGTGCCCACAAGCTGTCCATAGGGACTGCAAACCAACCAAATGACCGCATCGGCTCGACCGGGCTCGCTCCTTGAAGAGCTTCTCCTGAAAGGTGGAGGTGAAGCCGTCCTCGGGTTGGGGTCACGGCAACTCTTGCCCGAAAGGCGGCGGCAAAATGGGTGGCTTTAAAGGAAGCCCAAAAGGAAAACAGCGATCCTTGGGGGGCTCCCCTAAAAGACTCAGCCAAATAGATCTCTTTCGTGTCCACCATGGGGGCGTTGGTGGCCTTGCAGGAAGGGTTTTCCTGTTCCATTCTTGTGGATGGCAAGTGAACCACCTCCTGTTGCTATCCGTTGAAGCCAACCAAGGAGATCACTGTAAAGAGGGTCCCCCCAACGCCCCTCATCTCCAAATGCTCACCGTTACAGTTGAAGATGCATAAAACATGCTAGGCGTCTCAGCAAGAATTTTGGCTCGTGAGAGGTGCTTGCTTGTCCGTCCACAACACTGCTCAGAGTGTTAATTGATATTCTCTGGGAGTGTAATGTAGAATAGCGAATCATCAGTGGGGAGCTAATACAAACACGCTTGCCTAAACTTGTTTCCCGCCCTGAGAAGGAAGAAGGAGAGGGACTTCAGAAAAGTGCTGCTGTTTGTGCTCTTTCCAGTAAGGAAAAATATAACTGCCCGTCCGGCGGTGAGAAAAACACGATCCCAAGCCCTGGCAATGCTTCTAAGCTGGTACTAATCAACACTAATAATCAAATACTAACTAATACAACCGAATACTTCACCAATCCTCAGCCAGCAAGACCCTGAGGCCCCAAACAGCCAAGAGGACCAAGGAGGACCGAAGCAATACTCAAACAATTCTAAACCAGTATATCATGATTGGAGTTAGGCCCAGTTAGAGAATGTACATTTTATTGGTTGCTTGACTTTGAGGCACTGGTAAAATGTAAAATGTATCCTAAGTCTACCCCAAATACAATTACTAAGCAGTACTTTGTGAGAGACTGCTTGAGTAGAGCCAACGTTTCCTCTATTAACACGAAATGTGCTTGGCCGGGAGAGGGGAGGGGGCTTCAATATTCACTACCCCACATTACTCACAGCAACAAAAGGAAGCACTTTGTGGCCTTTAAGGTGTTTCCATATGCCTAACTAGTGTTTCCCCACTGCCGCGATGCTTGTCCCTTTTCAACATGCGTGTTCCCTTTCTTGGACAAATCCCTTCAACATGAAGCACCAAAAAAATCAATGGCCACAGGGCAACTATAGGGGTAAAGCTCTCTCAAGTCTGAAAGCATGCCCGCTCTCTCACCTGCTGAAAAACCGGGTCCTGCTTGACTTCTGTCTAGGTTAATGGAGGATCAGCCAAAGGCCTGCCTTTTCGGGATCCTGGAAGATCCAAGTCACTTGCACGTAGAGCCACGCCAATGATTCACACAATCAAAGTTAAGACGGACTGATTGGTGCTGAGACGTGTCCTTCTGCAATTGGGTGACTGCTCAAAGAGCCACATGCCCAAAAATACATCTGCAGTTTGTGACGTGGAATTGTTCCGTGATGCCCGCCGTAGTCAAAAAGCAATGTGACCCTGGTGAAAAAGTCGAAAAAGGCTAGCTTGCTCCACTTGCACAACTTGCGACCACTTTTTCCACACGACCGGATATGGCCCCATGGGCTAGTTGATTTGCCAAGCAGCACAAGCAAGAAAGCAGAGAAGTAGCAGCAGACCGTAGACGCTACCTCGGCATATCAGAGCCTTTCAGCTTGTTTGCACTTTCTGCGATACCGTGGACCAACCATTGGCTAATTCCTTTGGCAGCTCTGGGAGTTCCTTACTCTCTCTCCTGTCGTAAAGCTCCGAACATGGATTTCCGGTGTGAGGAAGCCTCTAATGTGGCCCTTCACAAAGTTGGCGCGAGACCTGTGAGGAGACGCTCGCCAACGAGATCCTTCCGCAAGGGACAAGCCGTGCACTCTGGACCAAGGCGCAGCTTACTTGGCGAAGAAGCATATGGAAGGCTTGAGGGACATGTCCCTAGTGTCCGATTGAGCCTGCCTTTCCAGCCGACATGAGGCAAGCGAAATTGGGCCCTCCCGAGGGTTGAACAAGCAAAAAGCGTCCAGCAAAAAGGCCTCCCGCTGTCTTGACCACCCACGCATGGCCAAAGGCACGACTTGGTGTTGAACTCTCAGAGCGAAGCAGGGTCCCTCAAATCTGCTAACATACCCTTTCCGAACGGCCAGCACTTGTGGGGTCCAATGCACTCAAGCCTTGATGTCTCGCGTGTCAAGTAGGGATCGAACAATTGCGAGATATCCATCCTCTTTGGTTTCTTTTTGCGTAAACTGAGACATACGGGCTCGTTACGACAAAAGTGGCAAAAGAGGAAACCAAAGGAAGACAACTAAATGTCAACGAGAGGATCGGACCTAGTGTGTCCAACATGCAAGCTACCTGAGAGCTGTTTGATTTGATTTCTTGGAAGCTGCCAGCACAAATGCCTGGTGCGAATGGGCAATCTCACGCAAGAAGAATGACAGCTGTGACAACTGAATACAGGGACAAGAGCCAGGTAATTAGTTTGGACACTTGGATTGACAAATTGTGATCGTGTTTTGCATCAAACATCCTTCAAGGCACGGTCTTGAATGACAAATAAAGTACTGTGTATCAATGCAAACGCGTTGCCACATCATATGTTTTTCTTTGTGGGCCAAGGAAGTCACTGCGCCCATTCAGTTTGGCGATGTCCGAATTTCCGAATCTGCGCATGGCGGTGGATCCTGCACCAGCTGGGATGGACGACCATGAAGACTGGGACAAGCCACATACTCACTGGTACAAAGCCTCCATTGCGTAAGCCCCCTGGAACAAATCATCATATGTCCAGTAGTGCTACATTCCCTTTGACACCAACCAGGGAAAGACAACATCTTAGACAATCCATCCATCTGTTCACTCCCAGGCTCCGACTGCCTTTGTCCGCGTGCTTGGATTTGATGTCGCCTGAGCTTGGGGTCACCGAAAGGCTTCTCTCGCTTTGTTTGTCAACATCAGCGGCCAACACCTATTGGTTGGGTGGCCCGTTGAATGGGCTCTAAGAAATTCTTCTGGGATGCTACACACATGACTGTCCTTTGGGGCAAGCTGGAACAAACCTTAATCTGTTGAGTCCCCCATCGACAAGATCCTTGAGGATGCAGGCCTTTAAACCCCCTGAAACCAGCTGATAGAACCAGCTAAAGTGGCCTATTGAGGTTTGGCAATAGTTAAAACTTCTCAATGAGGCATGATGGTTCGATTACCTAGTGCTTGTCTCCAGGGGTTGCTGACCGACCCCTCGAGCTTGCAGGATATTTAGGATGATAAAATTGGGGACACATTGGTGCCCAGACCCCGTTCAAAACGGTTCCCAATTCAGGCTATTGATGCGTGCCTAGTAGACCCCGCAAAACCCCTAAATAACCCCTTGCGAACAAACCTTTGGAACCATGGTTGCTAGCCGCTTAAATAGATTCCTCCCATATTCTCCCCGCGCGGGGGGGGGGGGGGAAGAACGGGAGTCCAGCACGTGGTGGTGTCTGACCCCTACCGACCCAAAGACCTCAACTCCTCCCAGTATCTCGCTTTCTGGATGGATGGACCCCCAAAAGCCTGAACTTTGGCTCACCACTACCATGGAATTCCAAACAAGTGTGAAATCAATGTTCAGGAGACTGGGAAAGTATTGTGGACACCACCAACCTCAGCCCAAAAAACCCGAGCACGCCTGTGAGGAGGAAGGCAGTCACCCCACCTGTGACGCCTCGCCAAGCGGAGAAGCCTTTCCCCGGAGCTCCGCAGCCCTTCAGACCTTAAACGGACCCTTAGTGAAAAATCACATGGGTGACACCCCCAGGGCCCGCCTCAAAGAGACCCCAAAAGCTTAGGGAAAAACAAGCCACATTGGATCAAGAAGCCTCAAGTAGGGTTGGAAAATAGCAGAAGCAACTCCAGACTGTCATAGGGCCAGAACAGTTCGGGGGAGGTCTTTGGGTGGTTTGTAGAGTCCCTGAAAGGAACTCTGGCGCCTCTAAGACCACTTTCTGGCTTCGGCTAAAAAGAAGAGCGCGATGTTTGCCTCCCATTCTGGAAGGAAACGTGCACAATGTTAATTGGTGGGGACGGGACTGTGGGAAAGTAACTTGATCGTTTGACCCTGTGACAGCACTCGAAGACATCCTGCGTATGTCTTTGCTTTCTAAGGTAGTGCAAAATAAAATCCTTTTGAAGCAAACACGCCGTGCTTCCTTTATATCAAACACAGACCTCAAACACAAACAAGGGTAGAAAGTTCAACCGACGGCACAGGGCTCCAAGCCGTGCCCCGGGTGGGCTGGGGGGGTGGGGGACGCAATCAAGCAAATGACCATGACTCGACCCAAAATAAGTGTTGTCTATACTTGCCCACATCTGGGGTTCGCCAATGCGCATATTGTCAGAAACGGCTTCACATTTAGTCAACCTTAAAGTATATAGAGCAGATCGCGGGAACACAATAGATCGGTCTACAAACAAACATATACACATATGGCTGTGGGCAAAAATAGGTACCCAAAATGGATCCCGGGCAAATACAACCAAGGACTAAAACCAGCGGTCCTCTGGTGGTTTAATTTTGACCTATACCCACATATACATGGCAGGTAGAAACAGAGTGCAACTGTGCGGTTGGTCCGTCTCTATTGGTATTGGTTTAAGTTTAGCCTTGCCTGTGCTGCACGGGTGGGCCAGGAGCAGGCTCAAACATGCAAAATTGAAATAGAGGCCAAATGTCGTATGTATGCTATATTGTGTTATACATAGTTATTTCTATATACAGACACTAATACATATGTATGTATATATATATAATATATACATATATATATATATTATACACACATTTGGGGCGCCTCAACCCAAAAACCAACTCAACTTCATGCTTCGCTAACTAGGGGGCACCCTCATGGGCGAGGTCGCACCTTCCCCCCCCCTCCCATCGGGCACCTGCAGCGATGCCCCAATCCATGAGCTTGTACTTCTGCCCTGAAATCGCGATGCCCCAGAGCCTTGGACTCGATACGATCGAGTTGAACTCCGGTGCTTCGCCTAGTTCACGCTTGGTCAAGGGGTCGTGAGTCTGTGTGTGAGTTGCGGAGTCTATAATCTTCCCATGACTCATCTTGGAATTCCATGACTGAAACTTCAGCATGCCCTGATTCCCTCGTTTCAGCGATCGGCAAGCTTGCTATATTGGCAGTTTGAACCAGGGGAGAATCCTCCGGACCCTCTCTAGCTGCTAAACTTGGGGTCAGCAGCAGAACAAAACAGACCGCTCCCTTTAGATAACTTCAGCAAATACCCTCCCATCCACTGAGGGGTCCTAAAAGACGATTGCCTTTTACGGGGACCCTCTGGTGGGTTCCATGTGGACAAGGTATGGCCTATTTGGCAGGGCCCCAAAAGGTCACCAAGACCTTTCTGAGGCTCCGCACATGACGGGCATCATCTTGAAGCTTTTTCCCAACCTCGAGAAACCCGATCGGACCCCTTTTGGAGGTTCCATGGGAGTCTCATTCGCAGGACTGGCATATAAGCAGTTCGGCAACACCACGCTGTGAGTCTTAAAAAGGGAATACCCTCACAAACGTGTTGGCCTGCATCCCCAACCTACGCCCAAGAGGCCCAAACAAACATATTGTTAGTTGAGAATGTCCAAACTGGGGGATGCCTCTGGATTCAACAAGGACACAAGCGCGAAACAATGGGACAATTGGCTGGAATGGGCCAAAGCGGCAACCGACATGGGCCACTCGCCCTGATTCTCGGACGATCCTCGGCGCCCCACATCTGCACAGGAAAGCTGACATATTTCAGTGCCTGCGCTTGCGGATGTCAGTGAGAACTCGTGTCAAAGGGAATGCGGTCAGTGAGAACTCCCAGTGTGATACTCCATAAGGAACCCTCTGGTTGTCCGAATTCCCGGGGAAAATCAACCACTTCCGGCGGGTCAGCACGGAGAAGGAAGATTCGTCCAGTGGAAGGAAGGCTCTAAGCCGAAAAGAGCCGCAAGCCAAAACCATGAAAATGGAGGGTCTAAGTAGCATTCCTGGCGAAGCTGTATGATCTTGCCTTCTAGTACGTGTTGATGGTCACTTGTTGCTTCCTGTCTGCTTGCGCAAGGGTGAACCACCGGAAATGAAAGAACCGCCTCGTGCTGGCTTCTGCATGCAACTGGCTAAATTCACAAGCGGGATCATATCATAGATGGGCTTGTTTATTCTCAGGTGAGCACTCAATAATTTGTGCGGCTACCAACCACCTGGAATAGTTGCGCAATTTCGGACAGGCCAGTGCAAATGTAGTTGCGTGATTTCCTGCTTGGTTGGCGCCGGCTGCTTACTTCATGCGCCACCCGTCGGCCAACAGTGGACCATGACGAAGCCTCCCAAAGAGAACAAGTCGGCAAACAGCCACAGGTCGATCCCCATCTTGTGAGAATGAACCCTCTGAACCCCATCTCAGCGCGGGACTTCACGTGGCAAGGGCCAACGACATTAGGCAATCCAACAACAAGTCTACTGGGTCAACAGGGCGACATCCTCAAAACTACCCGAGCCGAACTGACCAATGTGGCAAGTTCTTGCAGCATGCCAAACTGGGTACACCAAACATATTCTCAGATTCTGCCTAGTCAGTCTGCCCAAAAGTACTCGCATGGAGAACTGGCATGCAAAAAAACGGGTAAGCAAAAGCGGGGCAACAGCACTGCACGAGCCCTGCGGCTTTGCGACGGGCGTCCGGCGCCTCATACTGGCACCAGGTGGCCGCCACATTGGACAGAGACACGGCAAGGTACTTCCACAAGGGCACCTCAGCCACAAAGCTTTGCGTTTTGGGGGGGGGGAGGGTGAGGAGGGGGGCTGAGCCACTTCCAATGTGGATTGGCATAAAGAAAACCCGAGCTTTCATTTATGACGCAAATCGTCGTCCCAGGTATGAAACTGGGGAAGTGAGCGAAGTGAAGCCCAAGGAGCCGCCCGTTGGCGAAAAAACACATGCGCGGGACTTTGACCAAACCCATGACCAGAGCCACGATTTCCATTCTGTCCTTCTCACCAACGAAACACAGGTTGTGTCTGGGGAGGATATGCTGGTGGATAAAAGTTATGCTAGAAAGTGGTTTGGATGCGCTTTTCGTGGATTTCACTAGTTCTTCCCCTTCTTGGCCCTTTTCCGACCTTTTAATGCCCTTTTAATATTCTGCGGAGGTGACTCCACAAAAGCCGCACCCAACCCGTATTCGAGAGTTGTACCATTTAACTCCAAAGGGCCATTGAACATCCCGGTCCAGGCGCTCCACTCTCATGCCAGCTGGACTTCGAACACAAAATGTCTGGTGATTCTTCCGAAAAGCCACTCCCCCAAGCAAGCCTTAGGCGCTGGGGGATGCATTGGGAGGGCTTTCCGCAGTCAGATTCCAATGAGGGTGGTTGGTTACAATGTCCGCCTTTCAGGATTTCGGTTTGCGCAGGCCAACTTGTCAACCCGCCTTGAAAGCGAGGGGGGGGGGCTGTGCCATGTCTATCTTGCAGGACCAAATCCTAAAAAAAAGATCACCCATTGAACAACCACTGATTTCAGGATATATCCATTCGGGGGTATGCAAGTAAAAACCGTAGGCTGGCCTGAAATGTTACATACTTCACTGGAAAGCAAGGAAGTACCTGGGCCACCTGAAACTTCTCTTGACCCTGGTTTGCTGAGTCGACAAATGCTAATCAGTGTGTGCTCACCCATTGCTCCGCGCAACAGAAAGCAGAAGCCAGAACTTGGTAATAGCTGGGTGTCAAAATGCAGGGTACAAAAACAACAAGCATCTGGCTTCATGTTTTTGGAAAATGGTTCTCTTCAATGGCGAGATAGCGCTCTGCCTGGTAAGGGGCAAAATGCTCTGGCAGATTCGAAACCACACGATGCACCAAGGCTCTGCAAAGTGACATCACTTGTTGGGCCTGTATGAATTGAGTTTATCTTTTGGGGGGATTGAAAGGCATTAAAGGAACCCTGTTCATTGCAAGCTGTGCGTTTCCGGAACAAGGAAGACACTTTGGCGCACCGGAATCCATGGACGGACCAACTAATACTGCCACAAATCTAAGGGTTGATTATGCAGGAGACTTCACCATCATTCTCTCCAGAAACCACCCATTTTTCCTGGGGAGGGGCACATCTTTTGAAGAGAAGGATCCCTGAAGAGAACGGATATCAAGGAGGCGATGACGAGATTCCTAGTATATAGCTGGATTTTTGTTGAAGCGCACGCGGGCTTTACAGGCCAAACCCAGCTCGAGTGGAAAGGCTGGCGGAAGTGTGCTACCCGGGCAGCCAAACAGGTT